CGACTTCAACCTCTATTTAAATTCCAATATCGAAACATGAATATAAATCGTGGAGGCCACCTATTTAAGATATTAAATATTCATAGAGTTCTTCGATGTCAAATGTAGTAGGATCGAACGATGACAGAATTTTTTACTTTTATTGATAACACTGATGTTTTACATACAGAACAATGGTATTACCAACTGTACATAAAAACTGTTTTAGTTTCTTTCACAAAAATACAGAATTGGAGAAAATACCTATCTTTACCCAATTGCCCCCAGCCCCAATAACTGATAAGTTAACTCAATGGACATTTTTCTAAAGGAAGAAGAAGAAGAAGAAGAAGAAGAAGAAGAAGAAGAAGAAAACTATGAAACCAATCAATTTCCTGTAAAAAAATCAGGGGGAACATATCAGTAACTAGCAATCTTTAGGCATCTGATGAAACTTCCAATAATGGATTATACTGTACTGTCATATGGTATTATCTTTGAGGGGAAGGTCGGAATCCGGAGATGGAATGAAATTGACTTCTTGCTCGTTAGACTCTATAAGCATCGACACAACGTCCCGCATAGATGGTCGGTCGAAAGGAGACATACTTGTGCACATTAAAGCGATTCTTAGTACCGCCATCATGTGATCGATGATACTTCTGTCTTGAAGATTCAACCGAGAATCAAATATTCTCGACGTGTATGAATGGTCGCGGATGAAATTTTTCACCCATGTTACAAGATCCCCTCCCTGATCTAATGGCTGTACAGGAGTTTTCCCAGTTAACAACTCAAGAAGAACCACCCCAAAACTATAAATGTCACATTTTTCTGTAACCTTCATAGAGTAAGCATATTCTGCAGCCAAAAAAAGAGAGGAGGTATGCTTCAAGGTTTCAGAAGAATCCAAGTTTGCAAGATGAAAATGTCATGTTTTAATTTGAAGTCTTAAACAAAAGTTCAACATTTGATCGTAATAATAATATTCACATGGATGTCAAAAATTTTGATATTTGGGTTATTAAAGAAGAGCTTACCAGGAGCGATGTATCCATACGATCCTGCAACTGCTGACATCGATTTAGAATGAGGCATGTCAATCACTTTTGCAAGACCGAAATCACCAACATGGGCTTCAAAGTGATCATCGAGAAGAATATTATTCGACTTGATATCTCGGTGAACTATCTTCGGTTTGCAGTCATGATGCAAATATGCAAGACCTTCTGCAGCCCCAACAGCGATCGTGAACCGAGTTGGCCAATCCAAGCAACGAGAGGACCCATGAATTAGTTCCCCTAAACTACCCTTTGCCATGTATTCATAAAGGAGCAGATTGGAACCTTGGTGGTAGCAGTATCCATAAAGCTTAACAATATTTCGATGCCTTATCTTTCCGAGGGTCAAAATTTCGGCCTGGAAACTGTTCTCAATGTTGTTCCCTTCCCTGTTTGATGCCAACCTCTTAACTGCGATAATCTGTCCGGTATGAACCACGGCTTTATAAACTGTTCCACAAGCACCCTTTCCAATAATATAGCTGTCGTGAAAGTTATTTGTGACTTCAACCAGATCATGGAAAGTAAATCCCTCCTTGGGAGGTAAGTAAAAATCCGAGTCAGAGGACGACATCTCCTTATTCGGCATCGAAGAAGATTCATGTGGACGTCTCATGTAATGCAAAATAATCACAATTAGAACGAGAGAGATCCCACCTATAGCAGAAGCAACTCCTGTGATGATTTTACCACGTGACGTATTTGCACTTTCCGATTGTGTAGTATGAGAAGAAAAATCCACATTGCAATCACCAAGAGGTCCGCCACAAAGTCCGTCGTTGCCCGTAAAGCTATCGATGCCCATGTTCTGAAACAATGGTATCAAAGGTATCGGCCCGGTAAGGTCATTGTAGGAGAAGTTGCAGATTGATAAACTAGAAAGGTTGTCAAACTCGGTAGGAATTTGTCCAGTCAAATGGTTGTTATTGAGAAGGAGAACTTCCAGAAGATAAAGTTTTCCAAGCTCTGGGGGTATTCTCCCAGTTAGATTATTGTAACTGAGATCCATTGAAATCTGCAAGCTTAAAAGGGAGCCCAACTCCTTTGGAATTTCACCAGAAAATGAGTTACCGCCGATCTGTAACTCTGTCACACGGGAGATGTTTCCCAGTCCTGCAGGTATGTTTCCTGAGAACTTATTTCCAGAAAGGATGAGAAGCTCCAGTTGCGAAAGGGAACCGATCTCATTCGGTAAAGAGCCTGTAAAGGCATTGTGGCTGAGATCGAGTCGTTGAAGCATCTTACAGTTGAAAAATTCAAGTGGTAACTGACCAGTGAGCCGATTAGATGAAACATTGAAAGTGACCAACTTAGTGAGGTTTCCAATTTCTTTTGGTAAGTTAGATGTGAAGAAATTGTTCGCAATGTGAAGCCTTTGCAACTGTAGACATCTTCCAATATCCAGCGGAATTGGACCACTGAATTTATTCTGGCCCAATTCAATGGCAGAAAGGTTCTCCAAGTTGCAAAGCTCTGATGGAAATGCCCCGGTAAGCATGTTCCCGCCGAGACGAAGTTGCACCAGTGATTTACAGTTCAGGATTCCAGGAGGAATGTTTCCATACAGCTTGTTAGACTCCAAATTCAATATGCTCAGATTAGAATGATGACAAAGGTGAGAAGGAATCGTCCCGGTTAGGTTGTTTACTGAAAAATCAACTACCCAAAGCCGGCTGTAACGTCCGAGCCCTGAAGGAATACTACCACTGAGAGAGTTATCAAAAAGCTGCAGTTGTACCATCTTAGTGAAATATTGGAAACCAAATGGTATAGGTCCTCTAAGATCGTTAATCGATAGATCGAGCCGTGTCAAGTTACTCAAGGTGCTGAATTCATTTGGTATAACACCAGTCAGCAGGTTTTTGAAGAGGAAAAGCAAGCGCAAACCCTTAATCTTACTTAACTCTGAGGGGATATCACCAGTTAAAGAGTTCTCTGAGAAATCAATTTCTTCAACCAGCGAAAGATTACCAATTTCCTTTGGAATGGTCCCATTAAGCTGATTCCTGTACAAATACAACTTCTTCAGAAATCTGAGATTCCCCAATGCCTTGGGTATGGGGCCAACCAGCTCATTTGCATACAGCGCAAGAACCTCGAGGCTCGTACAGTTCCCGAGCTCCTCAGGAATAATACCAGAAAACTGGTTATTCCAAAGAATCAACTCGGTTAGGTTATAAAGCATCCCAAGCTCCTTTGGTAGTTCCCCTCCTATCTCATTTTGAGCCAGGCCAAGCATATTAAGACTCTGGCACCCACTTATTTCGGAAGGTATGCTTCCAGAAATAGTATTCTGTCCAGCCCTAAACCTCCTCAGATTCTTGAGATTCCCAATAGAACGAGGCAACGGGCCGGTGAGCTGGTTGGTATACGCCACAAACTCTACTAGTGATGATAAATTCCCGAGCTCTTCAGGGATCGAACCACTTAGTCTATTGTTACAAATATTCAAACTCCTCAAGGAAGAAAGCTTCCCCAATTCAGGTGGGATTTTCCCATCAAACATGTTGTTATTAAGAGAAAGGTATTCTAGACCTGAACAATTACCAATCTCTTTGGGAATATTTCCGGTGAACTCATTGTAAGAGAGATCAAGATAAGTTAAGTGAATCAATTTACCGATAGCAGGGTTTAGAGATCCAGAAAGATTCTTCGACTTCAAGTTGAGTGACCATACGAACGGAGCTTCACCAGCAGTGCATTTCACACCGATCCAACTGCACGGTGTCTGGTCCGTGGGATTCCAGTTCTTCAAACTATCAAATTCATCCTTAAAAGTCTTTTTCAGCTCCAAAAGGGACAGCCCTTCTAAGTTCAACCCTTGTGTAGTACAAAAGAGAAGAGTGATTGAAAGCCAAAATCCAAAAAACCTTACTAAAAATCCTCCCCTTGACTTGACAACATCTGTAACCATATTAACAACCATTGCCTCCACCAAAACTACATGAAGATCCAGCAACTTAGCACCTGAGGAAGCCATTATCATGTCAAACAGCATTGCCGAATAAAAACAAATATCACTTTAACAAAAAGAAAGAAACAAAAAGGAAAATTCCCCTTACAAAGTGGATTCTTAAAGTTCCTAGGAAGTTCATTTCAGATTCAAAGAGCGACAGAGTCCGCAGTACGCATTTAAAAACAGCACAGAATCGTAAACTCAGACTCAATTCTTAGTGAATGCAAATAAAAGGATCAGTAAGAAAACTTACAAACCTCACAGCCATCACTCGTCGAAAAGGGGGTAACAAACACAGCAATTCCGCCATGTCTTCTTCCAACTCACATCTTCTGACGAGAAGCTGAAGAAGATGGAACTCATGAATCAAAGAAAAAGGACAGATCGAGATTAAAATTCAGGGCGCGGAATAATGGGAAAACGCCGAATTTATGAATTGGGCAGGAAAAAAATAAAGGGCAGAAAGAAAAATAATCAAAATCTCCAGCACTTTGCGGCTGTAATCGAACACTTGGCACTCTGAAAATAGCGATAAATTAGAGAGAAATCATTCCCCCCCTTTTTTCATGTTATATTCAGCTACATACTGATCAAATCCACCAGCGGAAACCCCAAATTCTCCAACCAAGCCTTTTCTGCTCCAAAATTAAAGTTAAAAAACAAAACAAGAGGATGGAGAGATCTTGGGAGAGATTATTATAGGGAAGAACAAAAAGCAGAGCTCATTCGGCGAAGGAGAAATGGCCGACAAAGGAGACGATAGTTTGGCATCTGTGTAGGGGAGAGTGGGGGCTGATTTTAAGTGGTTGGAAAGAAAGACGAGAGAACTGTGAGTTCCATGGATTCAACTTGGAAGAGAAAGTTCGAAAGTTTTTCCTGCAATTTTTTTTCTTTTTCTTTTTCTTCGCCATTTGTCTTTTGTCTGTTTCTTATATAAGCCGATGGTCGTTAATGGAGTCACGATGCCAATCCTCCGTTTGCGTTTAATATTCAAACCATTGATGAACAAACAAAGCTTCGTCTCCCTCTTTTTTTCTTTTATTATACTTTTCCAAAATCAGTTTTACATTTCTTTATCTAATTTGTCCTTGCTCTTTGATTTTTTTTAAATTAAGTAATTGAAAATTATATCCGTTGGGGTCGGATTATGGATGAGGTGACGTGCCTACGAAAGTCTGGCCAAAGAGCCTCATCGAAGTGATTCGAAAGGTGATAGACTAAATGTAATCCGAAGCTTAAGTTAGGACTTGGATTTAATTAATAGTGAGCTAACAATGGTTTGACTCCTTTCTTTGTAGGGAGAAGATTTGGGAAAGAGTCTCACTAGTATATTTGTCAGTGAGAGAATATTTTGACTGCCACACGAGTATTTTGATAATAGAATTGTCCTTTTTAAAATATCAGTAGATACCTTGCAACTCTGCTTAAGGTAGGAACCATACTTATCGTATGATATAGCTTTTCCTCCATGCCTGATCTATAGCCTAAGTCCACGTGGCTTCGTGGGAGTGGTCCACGTGTTAGTTTTCAATTTCACCCATGACCATGTTATTAGCTAGATGTTAAGTGTCGGTGTAGATGAAAAAGTGAATTCTCAATCTTACGAAGATGTGAATGAAAATATTAATAAAATATGAATGTTGTTGGGTCTTTTTGAAAAATTTAATAAAATAATATTAAGATGCTAGCACCGTATTTAACAAGTTAAGCCTCACATAACTTAAAATATGTATTAATATAATTAATGAATAATTCCAATACAGGTTCAGAGACTAAAATATGAAATTTGAAAATCGAGAAATTAAAAGCAAGTATAAAATTGAACTTTCAAAATGTCTAAGTTTAGTCATTCCCTATTATTTTCTCGTCAATTGTTTAATAAATAGATGATATAATTATAAATATACATATCAATATTTTGATATTGAGTATCTACTAAAGTCACGTAGACTGGTTGAGCTAAGTATTATTGCCAAGTATTAAATAAGACATAAATTGGAAGTAGAAATTCTAAAAAAACAATTGTTTTTTTTTCTCTTCTCTTTTTAAGTTTAAAGACTAAAAAACACCTTGAGCTCAAGAATTAATAATTGAAAGAGATATTTAAACTTATATAAAAAGAAAAAGATCGTAATTGTTTGTTAAATTATTATTATTTAACGGTCAAAACACTCCAATAAAGATAATCATCGAGCTTCACTGAAAATTAGGTTGATTATCTGTACTTAATCACATGACGTCATGGCTGAACACTCACCAGTCACCATGCAGACAAATCTTTTCTTTTTTCTTTTTTCTTTTTTTCCTTTTTTAGTGCAGGTGGCTCTCATAATTTTCCGCACAAACGGCGGGATCAAATGAAACGTCGTCGTTCCCTATATTTGCTATTCACACGTGTTTCCAGATTACAATTGCAAAGCCGCGTGTATAAAATTTCTTATGTAATCTAAATAAATAAATCTCAACCGTCCATCTCAAAGATAGACGACTCTCCATCTCCATCTCCTTCTCCTTCTATATTTTTATTATTTGGCAAATTGAATAATAACATCAAGCTTGTGTCACGGAGGATGATGGGCCTGAAGAGTGGGCCCAAGGAAGCCCGTGGCCCATAAAGCTCGCGGGGCCCAATAAAAGTGGCCGACTCCGAAGTCATCACATCTATATCGCCATTCGCCACTAGCCCTTCGTGATGTCGAAATCAAACGGTCCACATTGGCGGATTTAGGAGTCTGCCTAATCATCAGATCTTGAAAAGCAGATCGGTGGGGTCCACTAGAAATTATTAAAACAACTAATTTTAAAAACAAAATAACAATAACAATAAATAATAATAAGGAAGGATAGAAAAGTGGGAGAGCTTTATTTAGGGCACATGCGTTAGGCCTGCAGTGAAATCTGACTTCTTTTATTTTTCTTTTTTCTCTTTCGTTGAGGATTTTATCTAAGGTTTGGCTTTTCTCCACTAAAATGGACAAAGAAACTTTTTCTTTCCTTTTCCTTTTTACTTTCAAATAGGTTTCTTCTCAGATTATATTCGAGTTGAGCTTTACCTTTTAGTTCAATGTAAGCCAATTTGGACACGAGTATCTCAAGACATATATTTATACTTGATTTGACCTCTTAACAATATTTTTACTAATGAATTTGGTATAATTTATTTTTAGAATACATCCTCGTAGGTATAAAAGGAATTAATTAATACGGCAAATTATTCTGTAGATAAATCTAAAAATACAAGAACATATTCGTGGGAATATACAAAGAGTTCTCTTGGATCTCATTATAAATAAATAAATCGTAGGTTCAGAAGAATATAAAAAAATAGATAACTCTGCCAAAATTGTAGAGTGGGGCTCACATAATGGGATTCTTGTCACACTTGCATTTCTTTACAATATAAACCATGCAATTTTCAAAAATATAATTCCCAAAAAAGAAAAAAAAAA